AAGACCAGTGGAACAGATGGAGATGGAAATAAGAAGAGTGCTTGAGCACCTTTCCTTGGAAACACAGGCATCTTCCACTGCTCTCACCACCTTGGGAGCCCTGCGTGGCAATGAGTGGTGTGAACGTAGCACAGGCTGCTTCAAACGGATGCCCATAACCCACACATAAATCACTGTATTAATGTACCATGAAAAGATAAAAAAAACACTCAAGCCTGTAAAGTATCAACGATCTTGTCCAACTCAGAGGAACTTTTGTTTTTTTGTGCATTTTGAGGAGATCTATAGCTGTGGGACTTCATAGAGTAAGTACTGCACAAACAAGAATCACACCACTATTTGCTCTATACTGATCACCAAATCATAGGATCCTCTTGACCTGACATAGACCAGTAGATAAACCTACCCTGACAGATGCTCTGTAAGTGATAAGAAAGCATATTATCTCACACTCCATGGCATGCTCTCCCATCTCTTCACTCCCACCACCCCAGTTCACCTTAATGACCTCTCCCTGTTACTGGCTTGCTGAGTTCCCAGCTGAGCACCACCACAGATACTTAAGTATGATCACCTCCATGCTAACCACTTCATTTTTCAAGTGAGAAGAAACAAGAGCCCAAATTTACCATGGGAAAATTCCTACTGTGGTGCCACAGATGGGTGGTGGTCACCATTCATCCCCTGCCCAGCGAAGCAGGAACCAAGAGCAAACTTCGCAGATCTCTCCAGCATGTGAAACCTCAACAGGGAGGAGCTAAATAAAGTTGAAGTAAAACAAACAAAAACTGCAAGTCCTGCTTTAATGCCTATGCAATTTTACTGAGAGCAATATCTGATTTTGGCAACTTAAATGGTCAGAGTTTATTTTCTGGACAAATTTGGGAGACCTTTTAATATCTGCACACTACCATCCTTTTCCTACCCATTCTATCTCAAAATATACATGCAGTCAAAAAATCCATTTGACATACTACTCTTCACACAGATAAATTCCTATTTAAAATAGAGTAAAAATCTGTGTGCATAATATCTGCTTAGGAATCCTGATAATTGGCTCTGAACTTGAAAAATTAAGGGGTGAGTGTTAAGGAAGTAACTTACAAGTCACTGCGCCTCACACTGTCAATGATAATGAGTATTGATTGCAGGGGCTGTTATCGCTATAAGCCATACGCACACATACCGGCATAACAATCTGGTGAAGTATCATCCTTCATCATTGTGCAATGCAGTGATCAGAGAAACTAAATTCAATCTTCAGACTAAATACATAAATAACCTAAGGCTTTCATAGTTCAGTAAACACATTAGGCAACAGCATCCTGACAAATGCCGGTTTTGAGTACAGTTTGGCAGCAAAAAACATGATAAACAATTCTGTGTTATTCTTTCCAAACCAAATTCTTTTTTCTAAATGAACCTTCCCCACATACATTTGTAGCAGCTGAAACTTTCAAAATAATGGTATGACAAGGAGATAATCTTTGACCTGAATTGCTGTTTGTCACAAGTTTCAAGTTTCTGTTTATACTCCAACACTCTTGGAGTCTCTTTCGTTGTCAAATCCTATCATTAGGGGCCATCATTTAAAAAAACAGGCTTGTTAGTGGCACTTCCTAAATAGGGGTGGAGGGGGGTGGGGAGTCTGGAATTTTATATACCTGTCCCCACATAGAAGATGCTAAAATCTTCCAGCCAGTCTGGAATTGATAATGCAGTCCAAACATTACAGTTTCACATTACAGATTGCCTACAAATTCCAACAAAGTCATTTTCTTTTATTAAATTAAAGCAGCAGCTCTTCTGCAATCAACTATATGCACATCAACTAGGTATAGCATTTGAGGAAATGGCTCTTGGTATTCAGTTTTCTATTTCAGTAATATAAAAATTGTCCAGTGGTTGCCTGGAAAATTTGTAAGAGGGCTGAATTACCCTCAAATTTGCCCATCCAAGCTCAGTAAGCAACACAATTCAATGTGCAGACAATCCCCTCCCAATCTGTAACTACCTCATCTGCAACTTATTATTACACTTCATACCAAAGAGGTAGAAAAAAAGCCACATAAATTATGAGCGCCAACCAAAACACCAGTTGAAAACTTCAGTCTTGGAGAAAAGAAAGCCCAACTCCTTCTCTCTTGCAGCAACGGGTGAGAGAGGAAGGAGGCAGACTTTCAGGGGGCAGCTATATAAAGACATTTCCCCTAACAAATAGGAACCAGCCTCACAGCCCTGGTTTGCTCCAAATTAGCTGAGCCCTCATACAGGGTACATCACCTACCAAGAACCAGAGGCAAGCAACTCCTTGCCTCTCCACTGGCCAAAGGCAGCCAGACCCAGCAACCTGGACCAGTTCAGGGAAAGCCAAGAGTGGGACAGGGGCGATGGATTTAGTTCCCGATTTTATTGCCAAAAACTGCCTCTGCTTATCAGTTCCTTTCCAGCCAATACAACAACCTGTAAAATCATCAGTCTGTGATGACCATCGAAGGTCTGAGGTAGTCTCCTTTTATCAATAGCCTAAAGGCTGGCCAGCTGCTGACGGCATCTTCTTTACACAGGTTGCCCTTACAATTTGCCAGCCCACCCACAGCCTTTGGAAACCCGCATTCATAACCCTTCCAGACACCTCACAACGTCCGTCTTCTCCCAGGGCGTCAGGGAAGAGGGTGAGTGGAGATTTACAGGAATTTGCTATATCTGCAGTTGAATGTAGATAACATGTAGATGTAGGTAATGTACATCTACATGGACATTAAATGGCGTCAAGGAGAGGTCTAAAATCCTTGAAACTGGAGATTTTAATTTCATTAATTGATGTACAGGACTGGGAATGGACAACCAACAGTTCGAGTAAACATAAATGCGTTAGAAAATTTTTCACCAAACTATCATGTTTAATTAACTTAGCTTAAGAGCAATTTCACGTTGATTTCACCTCTTACATGGATCTGAAGTTCCTAATACAGTAAACATCATCACTTATTTCAAACAGCATCATGTAACGACCCACCTGGTGCTTTTCCCCCTGCCACCCATGCCAGTAAACAGGAGAGATAACAGCAAGCCCGGTATAATAAAACCCAGGGCTGAGTTTATCTGTGGATTTACTGTGTGCTGTTGTGAACTTACTGAGAGTAAAGCTATCTGCACAGAACAGGCTCATACATGGAAGACATTATGAGCACAAAGCCATATCCCTTAAGCAGCTGACTTCTTGAATGTTTCCACCTCCTGTTGATTTCAGCAATTCAGCAGCTCCTAAAGCTGGTACCACTAGTTCCAGGTAATTCAGTTGTTTAGGGAAAAGCCCTTTAAATGAGCAGGAAAAGGTTTTGTTGCTGTTATTGTTAAGGCATCTTCCTCTCTCCACCACAAAAATAACTAGGAAAGAAATATCTAACTTACAACTGACTCACAGAAGAAAGTTTTGATTCACCCGGCCAATTTTTCTCATCTTCACTCAGAAACTGGAAACCAGAAATGGTCAAAAGCATACAGACTTTGAAAATCTCAGCTGAAAAACATGCTGGGAGCAGTTCAAATGGCAATGCTAAACCACAGAGTTTAGTACACTTAAGGACATCTCCTCAAAGGACAAGAATAGCTGAGCTAGAAGAGCCAATTTGATCTTTCCCTCCAAAGCAGGAAGAGACTGAGCCACGCTGAGTGTCCCGAGGAGTTCCTCCCACGACAGGCTGCGTGGGTGCTAAACACACTTCCTGTGCTAAAGCCTAAGTGCTTGGGACTCCGTGGGTCTGAATTCAAAACTCCTGCAGACCCCAGACATGGCAGAACCACAGGCACAAGGACTTTGGACAACATCTCAAGTAGCCCATGAGATCCAACCAGACCTTCCCTTTCAGTTACCAGATCTGCAACAGAGTG